TTTTTTTTTTTTTTTTTTTTTTGATGAGGCAGCTCAGTTTCCTAACGTCCACGTCTGTCCTCGTCAGGCACTTACTGTCAGCAGCGGGAGGTGGAAGCCATCACTGAAGGAGTGGAGGAGGACGACGGATGCTGCTGCTGCGAGCCGGGTCACCTGCCTCACATGCTGTCCTGCAACGCCGCCTTCAACCTGCGCTGGCTGGCCTGGGAGGTGATGGCCACCAAGTACCTGYTGGAGGGTTACAGCATCAGCGAGAACAACGCTGCCACCATGCTGCAAGTGTACGACCTTCGAAAGCTGCTCATCACCTACTACCTAAAGGTTTGATTACCGTTAYGCARGATATCAGCAGTGGCTGGTAMTAATTAAGCCGTTTCCTGTTTGGTATTAGGAATATTTTGCTTTCATCGTCAAGTCAGCGGCCATGTTTCTTCTTTTCTTTCAGAGTATCATCTACTTCCTGGTCCACTCTCCCAAACTCTGCACCTGGCTCAAAGACACCGCYGTCCAGGAGGCGCTACAGGCCTACACCAAGTGGCACCACATCGAGCGCGACCCTCAGGTCTTCAGTGCGAAGATCGATGAAGACTACGTGCACTGCCTGCAGGGGGTGACTCGTGCCAGCTTCTGTAACGTCTACTTGGAGTGGATTCAGTATTGTGCTGGGAAGATGGAGACGGTACAGTATATCACCTGAGGACCCGTCTGTCCACTTAACAGCATCTATTATTACGGTACAGAGATGAGTCAGATATAAACATTTAATAATGTACTTTTAATCATTTATTCAGTACGAGATAAGTTAAAGAAAAGCAAAAGGTGAATGGTTAAAAACACAWAAATGCATCACTGGACAAAACAGAACACATATTGTTGTGTTGGCCCACCTGCATCTTTGTGTTTTTGATGGTTTCTATGTCCGTCCAGCCTGTGGACAGCGATGAAGACTCCCCACTGGTGACTCTGTCCTACGCACTCTCTGTCCTGGGCAGGAGATCCCTCGGTACGGCGTCGCACAACATGTCCAACAGGTAAAAAAAAAAATAAATAAAAATAAACAAGAGTAAAAGTGTTTATCTCTGAAATGAAATAAAATGTTCATTGTGGGAATGCTGAGTCAGCATTCACACTATTGTTTCCTGTTTCTGGTCTCTTGGACTACTTCAGTATATTTTCAGGACACTATGGATTCCAGTCAAATAAACAAAATCACACAAACATCATATTGGATTGGAAAACAATATGTTCATGTATCATGCATCACGGATCAGTTCCAGTTTGATTTTAATTTTACTGTCCTTTATGTTGTTGAAGCTTTATATATACAGTATATATAATGAGCAAAATAATGCTATTCAAAGCTACTTTAGGGTTGGCTTTTTTGACTGCTGCTGCAAAAACTCACCAGAAGAGGGTGCTAGCAGCTGCGTACTAAAACAAATGTTTTAACAGTTTTTTTTTGTTCCCGTTCCTGTTTTTTTTTTCTTTTTTTAATGTAGTTTATATATAAAATGTGTTTCATATTTTTTTGTTTTTCTTGAAGCCTGGAATCCTTTCTGTATGGGTTCAACACCCTGTTTAAAGGAGACTTTCGTATCGCCACAAAGGACGAGTGGGTGTTTGCAGATCTGGACCTCCTGCAGAAGGTGGTGGCCCCCGCGGTCCGAATGAGCCTCAAGCTTCATCAGGTAAAGCTGACAGCTGCGGCTTCATGCAGCAGCTACGGCTCGTGTCCAGACACCTGATGAGCTTGGTGATGTATTTTTTTYCCCTCCTTTCTGCCCTGCAGGATCACTTCACATGCCTCGAGGAGACGGAGGAGGCGTGCATCCTGTATGAAGCCATCACAAACTATCGCAGCAGCCTGGTAATCTGCCACGAAAGTGACCCCGCCTGGCGGAAGGCCGTGCTGTCCAGCCGCGACACGCTGCTCACCCTCAGACACATGATTGACGACGGCACGGACGAGTACAAGATCATCATGCTGTACAAACGGCACCTCAGCTTCAAGGTCATTAAGGTAACAGACGGAGGGAAAGGTTCAGGTTTCAGCCTTTTGTGCAGAAACGCAGGATGATGAATGCTGAAAGAGGCAAACAGAAGCGTGATTTCTAGACGTCATCGCAGAGTTTACACGTTAGGCACTATGCATCCTATAAAACCTATGAAATACATCAAATTAAAAATAGTATAATAAAGTAGGGATGCAGGATGTATCKGTGTTGTTATGTCGTTGAAATTTTCATATCAGTGCATCCCTATAATAAAGAATTTACAGGTTTCCGTATACAGAAGTTCACTTATCGAAATTAATACCTTATCAATCATAGAAAACATTTGAAAAAATAAAAGCAAACCATTTTGGCTAGGCTAGGTGCTGAAAAACTGCCAAGGTTTGTTTGTGCTTTTTTTTCAGGTTTACTAAAAAAAAAAAAAAGACACACCTAAGAATCTCATTAAATACAGGATGAAGCAGGGGTGTCCAGCTCATTTTCACCAAGGGCAACATGAGCGTAACGGTGACCATCAAAGGGCCGGATGTAATTAACTTTGACGTTTCATGTTAGACACGAAGCATCATGTTTCTCATCTCATTACTATAGCTGAGCACTGCTAACAAACAATACTGAGCTCTACATGGTATTTCCTGAATAGGAACAGCGTTTTAACACATCCTGTTGTAAACACTGAAAAGTGTRACTGACTAAATTTGAAACAAATAATACAGAAATGTTATTAAATGTAAAAGCAGGAGAGTTTTACTTACTGATGAGTTGTGGTGAGTAGTTGCTGTCTTAAATTCTGAACTCTCCCATTTGAAACCCCCCTGCATAATTGACATGCTTACATTATGGGAGGTGTAGTTTAAGGTCAATGCTGGCTTTAAAGCTGTTTTATTTTGGGACATCAATACTGTGCTATCCAGCTAAATTGCTCAGTTACAACTCAGTTACTGGCCTGCTGGTCTTGAGTTTGACACGTGGTATAAAGCACTAACCACAATTGGGCCGCGAGCGCCACCTTGACGGCCTCAAAAGAAAAACGTTTTTTAACTTTGGGCCGCAGAGGGCCGTGGGACCGCTTTGATTTTGAATAAGGTRCAATACACTTTCTCACCACTAGTAGCAGTATTGCGCTACTCAGATGTTTAACAACTTTTTGAAGAAGAACCTCAGAAACCTGCCGAGAATGGAAATTTATTTTAAACAAAAAGTAGAAGCAAAAATGAAGGTAACCCATCAGAAAACACCAAAGTTTGTCACTAATATGAAGTGCAGCTCTTCTGTTTTTACCATGCAATATTTTAAAAGTTCAAAACATCGAATACAGTTGCAGATACAACTATATTTTAATTTGCACTTTAAATTAATTTTTGTAGTTTATTTTTAAACATTTTGAATGTATTTTAAAGAAACTTTTAATGTTTGTCACTAATATGAAGAGCAGCTTCTGGTTGCAAAAATTTTAAAATGCTATATTTTCATTTGTACTTTATCAGATTTATTTTTAGTTTTTATTTGAAACATATACATTAAATATTTTTAATTTATTTATTTTATGCCCACAATTTTATTTTTTGAATTGTATATTTTTGTTATTGTTTATATTAAAAATATATATTTTTGTGTCGATAATCCTGAGTGGTCTGTTGACTGACCTTTGTATTTGTTCAAATAATTGTTATGGGGAGGTTACAGTATAAAAATGTTTGTCATAATCATGTCTTGTGATTATTTGACAGGAATTTTACTTTTAAACTGTAAGTGTATTTAACTTAGTTATGTTAGTTATGATGTAAATACAATAAAAATTAAGATTTAGATTAGAATAATTATCATTTTGATCCATACATTGGTAATGTCTGACTGGGCCTCGTGCCACTTTATGTTCAACAAATTGGGCCCCGAAGTCAAAAAGGTTAAGAACCCCTGGTATAAAGCACAAAAATGAGACCAAACTTTCTTTGAAGGCTATAACCACAGCAAACTGCTTTCATTTCCACATGTTCAGTTTTTCCAGGAGTTTTTCAACAACTTCAACTGAATTTTAAATAATCCTCGTCTATCTTGTTGAACTCCAGTATGATCGGCCCTCCTCTCTGCAGATCAATAAGGAGTGTGTGCGCGGCCTGTGGGCGGGTCAGCAGCAGGAGCTGGTGTTTCTGCGGAACCGAAACCCAGAACGTGGCAGCATCCAGAACTCAAAGCAAGCGCTGAGGAACATGGTGAACTCATCCTGCGACCAGCCGCTGGGATACCCCATGTATGTTTCAGAGCTGCAGCCTGATTTCAAAGCTGCAGCGCGTTTAACAGTCTGTTTCTAACTGACGTGCATGAGACATTAATGTCCTTATTTTTACAGGTATGTGTCACCCCTGACAACATCATACGCAGGAACGCACCGAACGCTTCGCAGCATCGGAGGAGGGGCTTTGAGCCTGGATGCCATTCGTTCCTGGCTCTGCTCTAAATGGCTTCGGTCAGTATTTTATTTTATTTTTTTCCCTCCCTGTGAGGCTGTAAGTCTTGTCCTTCTTGCCTGCTGAGCTCAACCTTCCCTGAGATCCTCCCTGTTGCACCGCAGTCTTCACAAGCAGAAGAAAACAGAACAGATTAGATTTATTTTGGTCACAAGTCCAGTTTCTGGATCAAGCAGCTGTCTGAAGATCTCTGAGCGAGATGCTCTGGATAAAAGGCTCACTTGATCCTATTTTAACACAGAGCATGTGCACAGCTAAGATCAAAGCTCCTAAAAACCCCTAAATGACTTTGACAAACGAATTTCACGGGAGACAGTTTCACTTGTGGAAAAACTTCATATGCAACTATTTCAAACTCAGCTACAAAGATTAAAACTGCAGCTTAGAAATTGTTGCCCTGTGCAGCATTTTCCTGCAACATCCTGGACTTTACAGTGCATCATTCTCTTCCCCGGTGGATTGCTTAAGTGCAGGGTGTCGCCAATAAATTTTTCTCATGGTCAAAATTTCAGATTCTCTGGAGGCGGACCTCGGATGCTAAGAATACACTAATAAAAATATTAATCTTAATAGTATTTGAGAAGYTTCATAGCTTGCAAGCTTAATTTTAAAGTACCTCTGCTATGCACATTCTTCAAATACAGAAAAGTCAAAGAAAACATCTTTGAATTCAGTAAACTTGGCACAATACATGCAATGCAACTGGCATCTTCCTTTGAATTAGGCTCAGCCATAATGAAACAGGAAGTGACATCAAAGGGGAACACTAAGAAAGAAAATTTCATGGTCTTTGTTTATAGAAACAATATTATTTGAACTCTTCTTCATCCCTATCTGATAGTGACTCAACATAATCACGAGAAACATCAGATTCTTCTCTACAGTCTGTTTTCAGCCATTGTGCTCTGTTCGCACATAGAGATTCCCCCTTTGACATCACTTCCTGTTACTTCACAGGAGAATATCTCAAAAACTGTTCATCTCAGTGATGTGAAATTCTTCTTGCAATACATTAACATTATTATCTATCAAAAAATACATTCATATTTAATTCAAAAATATGTCACAGGCACTTTAAGAGGTCCATATCCACTAATGAAACATTCAGCATTAAGGTTTACCCAGCATTTAGCATAAAGTATCAGACTGATTTGTATGTTTCTGAGCCGTTTTCTAATTCTTTTGTCTTGACAACAAGACAAGCTCTGATAACAGATTCTATTCCCAGCATAATGCTCTCATTTTAGCTGGTTATGTTTCAGGATAAATCCATCATGGATAAGGCTCCACTGATCTTAAAACGCTTAGGCTCCCTACAGGCTGACTGAGTGCTTCTCTTAGGATTTAGAGATATTGACTGGCAGCGGTGCAGAGGGACTTGTCTGCCAACTTAATGTAGTTTTAAATACATGTGAGGGGGGACAGAGCGAGAGTACGCCTGGGAGACGGAGATGTCTGGATTACAGAGAGAGTGGAAACCTGAAAGCTTTACCTTTCTGTAGTTGAAGCAACATCACTTGTATCGCTTTGCTTCTTCTTTTACTACTTTTTTCAGTTAGGAATGCACAGGTCTCCTTTAGGATTCTTGAGGAATAAATTGTCCTTTTTCAGATTAGATTAGGCCGGTAATCCTGTTTCATCCTCTTTGATCGTTGTCTTAATTTCACAAAGCAGTAAAGGACCTAAGATGGGTCGTTCGCCTTCAGTCAGAACATATTTACGCCTTACATAACATCTCTCACTCTCAACCAGATGGGACAGTCAAAGCTTGCTAAATTTTTGATGCCCTTTTGCGTCTCTGGCACTGATGTGGACATGAATAAATAAATCTGTGCCCTGTGTGTGTGTTTGTGTGTGTGCGTGCTGCAGGGTGCGTAAAGACAACCTGACCAGCTGTAACAACAGTGGCACCAACATGGAGGACGTGGACTGCGGTGCTGCTGGTTCGTCCTCGTTGAGCCAAAACCGCCAGTCCTCTGTCACGTCCAACAGCCTGAGTCTTTACCAGAACCGGGCCAGGACGACACACAGCCACAGACGCCACAACACAGGTACACACACACACACACACACACACACCTGTTTCTTTACTCACACAAGAAATGACCAGAGGGGTGCACTGGAAAGCAAGATTTCCCACTTAGGCAGTCATGTTGAGCTGAAGGTCAGATTATAGTGTCATGAACAAGAATCTCTTTGAGAGCGGGGAGATCACCATGGTAAAAAAAAACTGTATCTTGTTGGGCTGCAACTGTCGGCAAAATGCATTTATGAAAATTAGTATCATTATAAAAAAATAAAATCCAAAACATCTCAAAATGTTTGCAAGGGTTCTATATTTTCTCATGAATTTGGGGGCTTTTGCACTCATTTCACAGGAATTTAGAACAAATTCTAAAAATTTGATCAATAAATTTGTCGTTGCAAGCGTCATTCAAACTGGTGACAAAAATAATGTATTGTGATTAATCAGGTTTTTTTTCCCCCATGAGAAATTTTTACATTTAGAACAACAGAAAAGAAAAATCAAAACAACAATTAAAGAAACAACATACAAATCTAGAACAATTCTGGTGTTAAATGGGGGATATTGTTCACCGAAGGTATTTATAATGACCAGGCAGGAAAAAGGGGGGGGRAAAAAAGTAGAGGAAGCGTGTCAAGATAATAGTAGGTTGTCACCTCTTACCATAGGATGTGTAACCTATTTTCCCAGAGGGCACCATTTCTTTTTGTAGTCTTAAGTCAAAGGTCAGACGCCCAATACGCCGAATAGAATTAACAATGTCCGTCCACTCATTAACTGTGGGTAGATCCCTGCTAAGCCATTACTTAGTCATAGCTTTTTTACTTGCTGTCATCATTATTTAAATATATATTTGGATACATTTAGGTCCATGTGCCCCAAATAAATAGATATGCAGGGAAATATGAGGTCATAGCCCAAGATGTCTCTGACAGTTTAATGAACCCACCCTCCCAGCATAATTGAAGGACAGGGCACACATCAACAGGACGGTGACCACATCCTCGCCATCATTCAGGTGGAAGATTGATCTGTTTCAGTTCTGTTTGTTTTGGGGTTATGAAGTATTTAATACAATTATTGCAGGAGAAGTCTCTCTACATTTGAGAGTTTGTAGTTGTAAGTTGTGTTTCAGTTATGGTGTCCCAATCCTCATGTAATAACATGACACATGACTGAGACACAAATAAAACATTTTGTGACTGAATTGTGACAAAAAAATTACATTTGCTTGAATGTGGAAATTATTTTAGACACAGAAAATATCAATTTGGTGTGATTCTAAGTAAAAAAAACTTTTTGCCAGAGAGAAACTACCCTTTTTGTCCCAAACTAAATAGAGCAGGTTCCCTATTCTGATTTATTAAGTAAGAATTTTCTGCCACACACTTTATGAGGAAAAGTCCTTTATTGTCTCAGTTGTGGCACAGGTGTCTTCCTGTTTACCCAGACAATGCAAAAACTAATTCTGTTTTTGTTGTCTTTAGGGAGAAGAGAGTATCGCAGTCGGTCAGTGCAGCCTCAGAGCCAACGCCCCCCTGTCACCAGCCAATCAGGTCCCATTCTGGATTCGGGCTCCAACCATGGACTCGTCCAGCGTTTGTCCAACAGTCAGCTGTCCTTTAACACTTCCATAGCCTCTATATTCTCTCAGGTATGCCCATTTTTGTTTTCTTTCAAAACCTCAAGGAAGGTGGGTTTTAGCTGAAAAAGAAACTTTTCGTCTTCAGGTCCCTCGTCTCTCCGGAGCAGGAGGGATCAGCTCGCAGCTCCAGGCAGCGCAGCATCAGCAGCGCTCCAGTCAGGTGGGACCTTCACACACTTCTGTGCTGAAACTCTCCACCTGCAAACCTCTCGACTTACTGTTTGTTCCCGTGTGTCGTTTCCCGCCCAYCCCCACCCCGTTCCACCAGGTTTCCTCATCCTCTTCCACCCTCAGCCTCCTGTTTGGGAAGCGCAGTTTCTCCAGCGGCCTGGTGATCTCCGGGCTGTCGGCCGCAGAGGGGGGGAACACCACCGACACGCAGTCCTCGTCCAGCGTCAACATCGCCATCGGACCCTCGCACAGGTCCGGCAGCAAAGCCACGCAGGTAGGACACAAATCAAACTAGACATGGGTTTTTACGATGTAAAAACAAGTGCGCATTGCCATGTAGCATGTCATTGCAGCATGGCTTTGCCTGCAGCATTGGACTTGCAGAATGAACTTTGACCAAGTTCAAATGTGTTTTCTATACCAGCTTGTGCCTGCCACGTCAGCAGGTGTTTGTAATTAAGGTAATTGTGTGACAATATGAAATTTGAAGAGATTTTTTGTTAAAGTTGCATTAGCTAGGTTTTGAACCCTGATCTCCCACATGAAAGTCCATGACGTAGACCATTAGACCAATAGAACTGTGGCAGAAGATGGTGGCAGGGGTTGGTTTGTATGTGTGTAGAAAGAGGCCACATTGCCAATACAATTATTGACACAAAAATGCATAATATTACAACAATCGAGCAGTATTAAGACAATATTGTAGTAAAACATCAAAATACAATCATATTAGTACTGTAAACACTGAACTACTGAGTTGAAATATTAAACTATGGTGCAGTACCAAGTTGAGTACAGCATGGGGCAGTATTGGACCAATACAAGGCTCCATTGACTACTATTATAATTCATTAAACATTAATATTTCATAAACTATAAGTTTTACAGGCACCAAAAGGCATAGCCATCATTTGGCATGGGAGCTTTACAGATATAAATTACAATGGCAGCTCTAGGACAAAGTATGCAGGAGGAGAAGCATGGCAAAGTTGAGATGACTTGGATGGGAAACGAATCACAATAGTGTGCATTGCATTGGCAATGCACACTGATCAAGCTTCCATCCAGGCCATCAGGAAGGTAAACACACAGACAAACATTAAAACTTATCTTCTGTTTTGATAATATCTAATTGGTGGAATGTCTTCATGAATCACRAGCTGTAAAGTCAGCAGTCGGCTCGATTTATTCAATATTTTGTAGACATTCTGATTCCAAAGAAGGTCACTTTTCAACCTCTCCATAGCCTCATAAAATGATAAATTAAAGATAATACAAGGGTAAAAACATGCTCAAATTACTGTGCAAAAACATCGTAAATATGTGCTCCTTTGCACGGAGACTAAAGGAACTTGCCTGTAGTTGTCGTTTGTCCTTCATGATTTCATTCTGCTGGGAAAAAATCTTTTTACGACCTCCATCTATCCCTCTTATCCTCCCTCCACCCTCTGACAACTACTTTAGCTCAAAGCAGCACAATAGGTTGGCAGAAAAAGATCAGCCGACCTTGGTGTGGTGCTAAAACTGAAGGCACAGTGTAGTTGTTGCACCGCACTCAGGAAATAAAAAAGAACTTATCATAAGATACTGTGACAGTGTTCTTGAAGTTTATAGTACAACTATTTTTAGACACTCATGGGTATAATATTACCACTCAACCTTATCTTCTAATTCATGTTCTTTTTAAAATCTCGCTCTCAGCTCAACCTCTGTACGAAACTTTATCCTCGCCCTCATCGTTTTTTTTCTTCCCTCGCCCTCAGTGGACATCAGAGCCATACGAGAGCATCGACGCCTCCAACGCCGCCACCACGGTGCGAGACGGCGCACAGTCCAGCGATCAGGGCTTGAGCCAGGGATTAGACAAGACCCAGGAGGACTCGGCGTCGACGGCTCCGGAGCAAACGGATCAGAAGACTGCCTGAGAATGATTAAAAAAAACGAAACAGATATATTTACAAGAGCGCCCACGTGCAGAGAGGTCTGCACGACAAAGGGATCTGCATACATACAAAGGATTGTATGAGAGAGAGCACCCATGCACACAAACCTGCCTTCTCCCTTGTTCGCAGCATGTGGTCTCATCTTGTTCGAATGTAAAGCCTGGGGAAAAAAAATACTTTGATCCAGTTGATCAAATAAATACATTTTTAAATGAAGTGGATTTTTTTTTAAATATATATATATTTAGAAATTTCTTAACTGTGTCAGAAGGGGGAATGAATGTATTTCTGAGAAAAGTCCGTATAGACAAATGTTTCACAGGAAGGGTTTTAACTAATCAAATTATTAGATTTTAGGATAAAAGGAACTTATATTAGATCATTCTTCAGTGTTTCAAAAAGACATGAAGACTAATTCCGTGAGTTCTCTTTACTAGAATGACCCTTATGTTCTTGAAGCCAACATGTGACTTTTTTTGAAAAAAAAAAAAAACCAAAAAAACAACTCAAACAAAAAAGTAAGCACTCTGTTTAGACCTGCTACTCTATACTTGTGACGAATAGTTTTATGCTCACG